GTGTGTGTGTGTGTGTGTGTGTGTGTGTGTGTGTGTGTGTGTGTGTGTGTGTCTGGAAGGAAACACAACTTCTCCCGTTCCTGTCATATTTCAATATTGGCTTTTTTCCGCCCTTCTCCAAGTCTCCCGTTATAACTTCTTCTGCTGCTTAAATATAGCCGTCTCAGTCCTCCTCCTTGCCAGATTGTTTATATTTTTGCAAGCCTTCTGCGTTATCTGTGGCGGCTTGCTTGCCTCTCTCTCCATCCCACTTCCCCACGTTGGTGGCGGTTGCTCTTTTTCCCCTGCCTCCTCTTCTCTGGGATGACTTTCAAATGTGGTCTATCAAAACGCCCAGTGTTTCCCTCTTTTCTGCAGTAGCTTTGACATCTGTTCTTGAATGCTAGCCCACAGTATTCCTTGGATTTGCTCACCCGGGATTTGTGTGAATGCCAGAACTACTAAAGGGAAGAGCGTGGCATGGGGGCCTCTCCCACCTCCCAGTTCCCTCTCCACATTTAAACTGTCTTCAGATCTCTAAGTTGACAGCATGCTGGTTGGTTATTCCAGCTCTCTGTCATCTTGTCTGGCCACGAGCCACACCATCATGGTACCAGGGAAGTGTCACCAAGGATGGCTTTCTGGCCTACTGGGTTGTTACCACTAACAAGGAAGCAGGGGTCTGAGGAGGCCGTCCAGTCCTAGAGTGCCTAGTGCAGGAAGCCTAGGTCTCTTCTCAGCGCCACACGGTGTGGTGGCACATGCCTTGACTCCCAGCACTACAGAGGGGGAGGTAGGGGGGTCAGAAATGAAAGGTCATCCTCAGCAGGGGTACCTACCCCTACTTCACATCCCTCTGGGACGTTTTACAAGGCAGGTTGACTTTCACCCTCCCACCCCAGCCTCACTCAGGTGGTAGCTGGGAATGCTTTTGAGGGAGGGACCCCTCTATTGCTCACCAGTTCCCCTCTTTGCTCCTCCATGTCCTGAGGCGAGTGCCTCCAGCTCTGGGGAGGTGCCCGCACAACTCCTTTAAAGACTGAGAGTTCCGGGGGGGGTTAGGGCTATGTATGGCTCAGTCGGTAGGGTGCTCGCCCAGTATGCATGAAGTCCTGGGTTCTGTCCCTAGCACTGCATAATTCATGCCTGGAACCCCAACAATTGGGAGGAAGGCAGAAACAGTAGGATCAGGAATTCAAGGTCATCCTCAGCCTTATAATGAGTCTGAGGTCAGCCTGGGGTACATGCGACCCTGTCTCAAAATAATCATGAACCTCCTCAGGAGGTGTGTGGCCTTCCTGGCCTTTTTGTTTTCTCCGAAACAGGGTGGTGGGACCTGCTGTGGATGAGGGGCCACTTGTAACAGCTACTGAATGCCCCACAGAATGTTCTGCTCCGTGTGTTCAGTATCTGAATCCACTTGACTTAGCATATGAACAGCAGGCCATTCGGTGGGCAGCCACGTGGCCTGTGTACCTGCTGTGAGCGTGGAGCTCCATCCTGGGCCCATCTGCTGTGGCAGCTCCTCATGGCAGATTCTCCCATGGTCTTCAGGGCGGGGGCCCAGGCTCTCCGACACGGTGGGGGACTGATTGCTGTTCCGAGCAGAGCCCTCAGACCTAGTCAGTGTTCTGGGAACCTCCTCTGGAGGCCTCAGACTCCAGGACATGTGGCATGCTTGGTGAACAGTGCCTCTGAAAAACTTACAGGACATAGCGATATTTTTTCTTGGAATTTGCTTTTAAAGGTCCCCCTTGCAAACTAATAGGTTAATAATTCCAGTTGGGATGCCTGACCTAGAGTAAGTTTTCAAGAACTATTTGTTGAGTGGAAGTAAACCAGCTGTTGTTCCCTGAAGTTCAGGTCCACACTGTAGAAGGCCAGTCATGTAGAGTCTGTTTGGGGGAAATCCTGTTCGGCGGGGGGACCAGAACTCAGGAGAATTGCCTGGAAAGATGTGGGGGCCTTGACCCAACTGTGGTTTAGCAGGGAAACTTTCTATGTCTGTTAGCACAGGAAGGAATCCTTTGTGCGGTGCCATGCTGTCCCGCACAGTATGCTGAGCAAATTTGGTTCTCTGGAGCTAGTGTCTGTGGGACTGGACTGGGTGGATGTATTATGCTTATGGTCCTTAACATTGTCCGCGAGCCTCACTTCCTGCCCATGAACTGATTCCCGGGAGCTTCTCCTTGTTCAGCACCAACACACACATGATCCCTCCTGGTAGAAACCTCGAATCATAATCTTGCTTTTCCTTTCTTGATCTCCCCACAGAGAGAACTTGATGCCACCGCAACAGTATTGGCAAACAGGCAAGATGAGAGTGAACAGTCCAGAAAACGGCTCATTGAGCAGAGCCGAGAATTCAAGAAGAACACTCCAGAGGTGAGCTGGGACTGTGTCACAGTCTTCAGGAGGGTCTCATGACCCCTGGGCACATTTAGGACACTTATTGAGACATTTCTTAGTTCTCCAGAAAGATTGCGTGGCAAGATGCCTGCTTCTTTATTTAGATGCCTTCAACACCACCCTGGCAGAGAGTACGCCGCACCCAAGCCATGGGGATGTGGCAGTGGGCAAGTTGCTGATACCCAGTATAGACGTTGCCTAGGCTGGACACATGGGCAGTGTTAGACCCCCCTGCTCTCCTAGGCTCTGGTGTGTCAGGATGGTGTTACCTCAAGTCCTTGCAGGACCGTGTGGGACAGTGAGTCTCATGCTGCTTTCCGTGATGCTAGGCAGCAGTGTGCTCAAAGATGGCACTGCACCAGTGCCTCCGGTAAAACCTCATTTCCTCTGCTGTGGACTTCGACGTACCTCTGTTTCTTGACACAGGTTGTAAGGGACAGTGGACATGACTCCTTCTAGAGTCCGGGCTTCTCTCTTAGGAATGTGTTGGGAGTCATATTAGTGACTTTTTCATTTCCATGACAAAATACCTGAGAAAAACAACTTAAGGAAGGAAGGGTTTACTTAGACTTATAGTTGGAGGGGACAGTCTGCTGTGGTGGGAAGACCTGACCACAGGAGCTTGGGGCATTGGGTCCATTGGTTTTGGTTTTTTGTTTTTTGTTTTTTTTGGTTTTTCGAGACAGGGTTTCTCTGTGTAGCTTTGCACCTTTTCTGGAACTCACTTGGTAGCCCAGGCTGGCCTCGAACTCACAGAGCTCCTCCTGGCTCTGCCTCCCGAGTGCTGGGATTAAAGGCGTGCGCCACCACCGCCGCCACCACCGCCCGGCTTGGGTCCATTGTTCCTGCAGTCAGGAGTCAGAGATTAGTGCCGGTGCTCAGCTTGCTTTCTCCTTCTTATGCGGTCTTCCAGACTTCTGCAGTCTACCTCCCTCTACTTCTCAAGTGTAGGGATTGCAGGTGTGCACCATCTGAAGTTTAGGTGATGCTGGGGGTAGAACCCAGGAACTTCATTCATGCTAGGCGAGTATTCTGCCAACTGAGATGCACCCCCCGCACCTTGATCTTTCTAGTTGCTTTGTTTACTTTTATATTTTGAGACAGGGTCTCCCTATATAGCCTAGACTGTCTCTCAGAGCCTGCAATATTCCTGCCTTAGCTTCCTGAGTCTGTCCACAACTAACTTAAACGTGCATCTTCTATTAGACTCTTTAAAGGATTGTAATGCTGGAGTTTAGATGGGAATGGGGATGGGGTTCAGTTAGTGTCCTCTGGGGTTCAGAGGGGAAAGATGGGGTCTATGATGGCATGTGGATCAATCTGACAGTGTGGGGGCCAGTACAAGGAATTAGTGAGACCTTATCTTAAACTAGTAAGTAAAAATAGGGCGGGGAGCATGTGGCTCAGCAGTAGAGTGCTTGCCTAGAATCCCTCAGTGAGGGGGACTGGGGGCATTACTCAGGAGTAAAATGCTTGCCTAATATGCACAAGGCCGTGGGCTCAGTCTCACCTAATATAAAATAAAATAAACAAACCGTTATTAACTTAGAACACTATAGAATGCTTTAAGTGCAACAGATCTGTGCTTCATAAAGCTAGCTTAGGAGACTTAAAAAAAGAAAGAAAGAAAAGAAACCTAATTTAATAGTTATCAGTTTAAAATATTCCCCGAGGTGGTTTGTAGTGACAGTTAATCATTTTGTAGATATTTATGGAATGCCTTCCATGTGCTAGACAGTGGGTCCTGGGGAGGAAATCCTATCCCTGTTCTTCAGAGTTTCTTATCTCTTCCACCAGGCACTAGACCGTGGCCATGTGGCAAGCTGAGTGCTGGGATCCCATAGCTGGCATCTTCAGCTGAAGTCTTTCCTTGCACCATACACAGATCCATGTGACAGTATTCTCTGTATGAGCCACAGATGGCTCAGTAACCTTCCATGTAGATAAACACTTCTGCTTTGAGGAGTCTTGTTAGAGCCATGACTTTCTTATTCCTTCTCTCTCTCTCTCTCTCTCTCTCTCTCTCTCTCTCTCTCTCTCTC